TACGAAGGGTCTTACCCTCCTCAGGTGCCGCCGCCGTGAGACCCGACCCTTCTCGCCGCCCTGCACTCCGCTCCGTCACCGAGTACCTACGGTGGCAGCGGTGACTGGTACATGGACTTGGGCGCCACCGCTCACATGACTGCTCATCTCGGTAACCTCACGTCCACCACTCCCACTCGTATCATCGTTGGTAACGGTTTCTCTCTACCCATTACACATGTCGGTCATATGTCGTTTCCTCCTACTTCTACTCCCATTAACATGTCTAATGTTCTTGTGTCTCCTAACTTAGTTACCAATCTTGTTTCTGTTTATCGCCTTGCTCGTGAGAACCCTATCACCGTGAATTTCACGATATCGGCTTTTCTGTGAAGGACGCCCATGCACGGATGGTACTTCACCGATGTGACAGCCCGGACGAGCTTTACCCGGTGCATCCCTCCGGTGCCACTACCACCCGTCCCGCCGCCCTCGCCGCTAGTGTCGATCTTTGGCATGCCCGCCTCGGTCATCCCAACTCCACAGTTATGCGTCAGATTCTTCAGAGTTTTTCTTTCTCATGTAATAAGGTTGACGATCACTCTTGTGAGGCATGCCGTCTTGGAAAGCACGTTCATCTCCCCTTTAGCGAGTATACAAACATTTTCACTTTTCCGTTTTAGTTACTGCATAGTGATGTTTGGACGTCCCCGGTTGCGAGCAACATGGGCTATTTATACTATTTGGTGATATTGGATGATTTTCTCATTATTTGTGGACATTCCTTCTCCGCCGCAAGTCTGACGCTCTTGCCACACTCACGGACTTTTATTCATATGTCACCACACAGTTTGGTCGTCCTATTCTTGCTTTGCAAACTGACAACGAAAAAGAGTTTGATAATGTCGACGTCCGCAATCTCCTTGCGTCCCACGACACTATCTTTCGGCTCACTTGCCCCTACACGTCACAGCAGAATGGTCGCGCCGAGCGCGTCATCCGCACTCTTAATGATTGTATCTGCATGTTGCTCTTCCACTCCTACGTGCCTCCTCGGTTCTGGCCGAACGCGCTTGCAACCGCCAGCCTCCTCATTAACATTCGCTCGTGTCGTCCATGCTGGAACTACACTCCTCACCAGCTCCTCTTCGGTGTGGTTCCATCTTATGATGGTCTTCGCATTTTTGGGTGTCTCTGTTATCCTAGCACCGCGTCCATTGCTCCTCACAAACTCGCTCCCCAGTCACTTCCTTGCATCTTCTTTGGTTATCCTCCCAACACCAAAGGTTACCGGTGCTATGATCTAGTGTCCCATCGCATTTTCATTTCGCGGCATGTGTACTTTGATGAGCTGGTGTTCCGTTTCAGCAGGTACCGTCATCCTCGGCGTCTCCCGCGGCGCAGTTCGCCCCTGTCTCCACCTCCAGCGAGCCGCCCAGCCATGCCACCAGGCTCGGCCCTGCCTGCACTCCCAACGCCGGCCGCCCCCGTCGCTGCGGCCCCCTCAGCCGCCTCTGTCACCGCACCCCCCGGTCGTCCCCGTCTATGTGGCCCCTGGCGCCGCCGCGGGTGACCCCTCGGAGACCGGCTCTACTTCCTCCTCGCCGGTCCCTCTCTCGGCTCCGACGGCTGCGGCCGCACCTCTCACCGGTGTGGTCACTCGGGCTCGGACTGGGACATTTCGTCCTAGCACGCGCTACACGTCCAACGAGTACGCGTGTGCTGCATCTACCTCGGCCCCGTCCCCGCTCGCCACCTCCACTCGCGCAGTCCTTCAGGATCCGAACTGGCTAGGTGCAATGCGTGAGGAGTTTGACGCCTTGCTGAGCAACCGTACATGGCAGCTTGTCCCGCGGCCTTCCCGTGCTAATGTCATCATTGGCAAGTGGGCCTTCCGCCACAAGACTCGCCCCGACGGCTCTCTCGAGTGCTACAAGGCGCGTTGGGTGGTGCCCGGCTTCCGCCAGAGTGCCGGCGTGGACTTCACTGACACCTTAGCCCCAGTTGTCAAACCGGGCATGATTCACGCTGTTCTCCAGCTTGCTGTTTCTGGCGCCTAGCCGGTTCACCAGCTCGATGTGTCCAATGCTTTCTTGCATGGCCATCTCCACGAGCAGGTGTTTTGTGAGCAGCCTACTGGTTTCGTCGACACCGACTATCCGGACCATGTGTGCTTGTTGTCCCGTTCTCTTTACGGGTTGAAGCAGGCGTCTCGGGCCTGGTACCAGTGAACCGCGGCCTTCCTTCAGCAGCTGGGGTTCCGGTCCACATGGTCCTATGCCTCCCTGTTTGTTTACCACCAGTGCGCCGCCACCACGTACGTCCTCCTGTATGTCGACGACATCATCCTGACTGCATCCTCGCCAAAGCTACTTCAGCAGATCATAGCTCGCGGCGGCACCGAGTTCGCCCTCAAGTACTTGGGGGCTCTTCACTACTTCCTCGGCATCGAGGTTGTCCGTCGTGCCACTGGCTTCTTCCTGCACCGGCAGAAGTATGCTTACGAGCTTCTGGAGCGAGCCGACATGCTTAATTGCAAGCCCACTTCCACGCCTGTCGATACGAAGGCTAAGGTGTTCGCCGACGAGGGCTCTCTGGCGTCCGACGCTCCCTTCTACTGCTCCATTGTCGGTGCACTTCAGTACCTTACACTGACGCGTCCGGATATTCAGTACGCTGTCCAGCAGGTGTGCCTCCACATGCATGCTCCTCGTGACGTCCATTGGGCTCTGGTGAAACGTATTCTTCGGTATATACGTGGCACCATAGCTATGGGCCTCACCCTGACGACATCTCCTGACACCAGCCTTGTCACCTACTCCGACGCCGACTGGGCTGGGTGTCCCGAAACTCGGCGATCTACTTCTGACTACTGCGTCTACCTCGAGCCCTTTCTGATTTCGTGGTCGTCCAAAAGACAACCCACGGTCTCACGATCGAGCGCCGAGGCCGAGTACAGGGCTGTGGCCAACGCCGTCGCGGAGTGCTCCTGGCTCCGACAGCTACTTCGGGAGTTGCTATGTGAGGTTACCAAGGCCACGCTTGTCTACTGTGACAACGTCTTCGCGGTCTACCTCGCTGCCATCCCTGTTCATCACCGATGGACGAAGCATATTGAGCTCAACATTCACTTCGTTCGGGAGCACGTCGCACTTGGTCTTGTTCGAGTTCTGCATGTGCCCACCGATCAGTAGTTCGCCGATGTCATGACAAAGGGGCTACCCACCTCGACTTTCAAGGGCTTTCGGTTCAGTCTCTG